TATATATATATATATACTCTATAATATTTAAAAACATTAAAGTTTAAAGCAAGTTTAAAGAACATTAAAATGTCGGAATATACATTGAGGACAAAGTCGACATGGCAATATGTAATCTTTAAAAAATATATAAAAAAAATATGCTAACCACCACCATGCCACGCTAATCCATTACACTTCGATTAACAAATGTAAAAATTTGTGATAATATTTTTTAACGTATGTAAAATGTTGCACAAACAATCTTGACTTAAACATTCGAATATTCTGAAATTAATTAATGTTAAAAACATTTATATTTTACAAGAATAAGTATTCATAGAATATTTTGTGCTATCAAAATTATTATTAGTCTCCTGTACGTTTCTCTGTAATGTTATTTTCTCTTCGAAACGCGTGAAAGAATATGGATTGTCTTGTTTTTAGCATATTAAAATATTCTTGCAACAAGGGTAAAGCATTTCGTAATCGTAAAACATTTTTTACAGACGGAAAGAAATCGGTAAAATAAAATAAATGAGCATATGGGTGGATTGATGCAGCCGGGTGTGACCTGAGGTGATACTACTTGGAAGATGGGTCCCTATATCGTGTATTTTATTCTGCTATCCTTTAAAATTTTCAAATCTACTTGTCTACGACATTCCATCTCGCTACTTTGATTATAAATGCTACTGGTCACGCGCGATATTTAATATTGTCTCTATGTATGCGATGTAAAATTTCTTTTTCGCTATCTACTTACAAACGTTTCTTACGCCGTGCATCCCCCTTATGCTTTTTGTCCGACGAAACGTTCCGGAGACGATTATTATGCTACATTACGGATCATCAACGAAATATCCTTTGAATTATTTAGAATACATAAAGCGTTAATAAATAAGCGTGCTAAAGCGATAATAGAGTTCGACGAATCGAAACGTCTGAAACGTAGTGTTCTCTCCGTATAATAAAAACGAGAATATATCAATAGAACGCTTGCGCTGATTTAATGCATTTAACAGTTTTGACACGGCTTACGCGCGTCATCGCGGAACGATACAATTCGCAAACACGTGGCGACTCCACGATCAGCAGGGCGCCGTCAACGAAAGTATGTTATCTCTACATTCTCCTTTTATAATTCCTAAATTCCTCTACTAACAATAGTGGTAACACAAGGCAGAGCTTCCTGAAGAGACTCTATGATATGGAGCAAAATCCATGGGGTGTAAAACTGAACATTTCGAAGCTCTTCAAAACGCAGCTCTTACTTCCCCGTTCCATTTATCGAGCGCGATTCTCTCCCGTATCAGTGAGGACGGCGTCATCGTTTCCTTCTCTCTCTTTTTTTCCTCTTCATTTTCCTCTTTAATTTTCTCAAGCACTCACGCGTGCTCGTTCATCCTTTTGTAAAAATACGTGTCGTATATTTTTCAACGCGACGAAACGATTATTACGGATAACGAGACTGCGGACATTCTCTTTAGACGAAGAAGACAATTAGTATACTCACTAGAGTTCCAAACCCGCGAAACGAGCTTGGCAACGAGCAGTAGAAAAATTTGAAAAGGTTCTCAAAATTCTCGCTTCTCAGAATATTTTACTCCACATCTTCATCATTTTCTAGAAGAAATCTCTGCCTAAGTGGGGACGGTTTGTCTGTTGCGACAGTCGAGGTCTACCGCGTCCGTTCGCGCCGGCGGCGTGTCTCCTGGTGTTGCGCAGCTCCCGATCGACCTCAAGCTCCTCCAGTTTCATGGTGAGACCGAGCTTCTGCTGTACTGCTAGGCGCAGAAGCTGGTTCAGCGTCTTTCGATCGTCTTCCGCTACGGTAAGCTGCCGCTGAAGTTCATCCACTTGCGTCACGTACTCTTCACAGCGTGCAGCGAACATTGCACGCAGACCTGGACAGCGCATGGTTAGCAGGGTTTAACACGACGTAGAGATAAGCAAATGAAATGAAGAGTTATTGGAAGCGTATCAGAATTCCCGAAGATGAAGCGTGAAACAGTTTCCATAATGAAGACAACATCCTTACATGTAATATATATAAAGTGGTAGAAAAATATGGCACAAATTAAAAATGCGTCAATAAAAAATCTGGCTCGTTGTAGACTTTTTGCATCATGTAATTCTGAAATAATGTGAGGCGTGATAATAAGTTTGTTTTTTTTTAGCTGAATTTCTTGTGAGAGAAAAAGAAAAAAAATGAACATGCAAGAACTTCATCTAAAAAAGATAAGCCTAATGACTAGTCACATTTAGGAGGGAAATGTTATATGCAGGTACACTTGGTAATTTTTATGTAATACAGTAATTATGGCAGAGAATCAAAGAGTTTGAAAAATCCACCGCGATACCCCATAGTATTAACAGCAACGAATTCATTAAGACTGATAACCAATTTAATTGATGTTAGTAAACATGTGTTAGTGAAACAAAATAAAAAAAAGTTATATTATTGAATTTCACTAATAAATGGTAGGTTTTGTAAAAGTATCTTACAAATGGGTAATAAATTGGTTTTAGTGAAGATTCATAGGGCAAGAAAATTACTGATATCTTTATAATTACTTATATCTCTTTTTACATGTACTTTCCTTTTTCTACACAATTTTTTCTATTAAATTATTAAGACACCTAATCGCGTAGGAAAGATAAAAAGAGATACAGAAGTTAAATACTCACTCGAGAATGTCGCGGCGTTTTCTTTCAACATTCTAAGCTCATTCCTCAGCTTAAGCATCGTCTCGTTAACAATGCTCTTCTCGTTTTCGTACTTGCTCTTCAGATTCGTTAACGCTACTTCTGCTGTATTTTTATTTGATTTAAGCACTGTTCTTAATGTGGCGATCTGTTCCCGTTTAGCGGATAACAAGGCCTTTAATCTGATAACTTGCTCTTGAAGATCTGTTACGTCTGCTTTGTTCTCATTGACAGACGCTGAAAAGATTGAGTTAAAATTAGAAATTACTTGATAAAATTCAACAATATCAACCATTAAGGTTTAAGTTTAAAGATACGCAAGTTCGTAAGTGAGACATACACCGAACAAATTTTAATTTTTTATATAATTATATTTCTTACTAAAATAAAAATAATGAACTTTATATTATTATAAGATATCTGAGCATGTGGGCAGTACTTTTTTTTAGAATAAGGTTTTAAAGAAAACTATACCTAGGTGATTACTTCATTTAAAAAATAAAAACAAGTTTTTCATCAAGTCCGAGATATACTTACCTTCGCAAACGTTGCAAATATTGGACTGCATTCCTTTGACTTTGGATAGTTCAAGCGTGTGTTCTACGGCATTTCTGAGATGTTTTATTTGGTCCATCGCGGTCTCTATGTGTTTCGCAATTTCCTTCGCCTTGCTAAGACTCTCCAAATCCTTAATCTTGATATCGGTCTTGAATAGAGTCCTGCACCAATCCATTTTGCCATTTTCCTCCTCCTTCTCGGGTATCTCTGACTTTTCATGATCCAGCACTACTCTCGAAGGTGTCTCGCCGTTAACGGTGCATACGTGATGATAGAGTTGCGCGAGCTCGTCGGAGAGATTCTGCAGGTCGTTCTGAGCAGAATCAAGGAAACCGCCCGCTTCTGCGGTGAGTTTCGACAAAGTGGACACGTCCGATTCGAGTTGCATGCTCCTCTGTTCCGTGTCCAGGAGCTGAAACGAAGGAGTGAGAATTGAGTACGCGAACGCGCCTTACCAGGTCGCAATAAATGCGTTAGGTACGTTTGCCTGGTACTATGTGTTTATCAGAAGTTCGTTCGTGAGATGAGTTTGAGAATAGAATTTATTAAGTAATCGGACAGTAGTTTAGGGTCCACAGTTCGCAATTTTGCGAGTGCAGTACGGAGATTTTGCGAAAAATATACAGATAGATGATTTCTTTCTTCGAGCATTCGTGCAAAACAGGCTCGCGTGTTCCGACCGACATGCTACGTTAGATGCGCGCGAAATTTAGATTTAGAAGGAAAGTGATCGATTCTGACTTTTCGTTTCTAAGCGCATTCTATCTCAAAAGCCATGTTGCATAGCATATTACGATCCGTACGTTGTCTCTTTCGAGCACTCGATAGTAACATTCGTTCAAATGCGCTGATGCCAGGATCCATGTGTGAAAACATAAATGAATATTTATAGCGTTCAGAGGAATAAGATTATTCTCACACGTGGATTTACATTTAATGGAATAAATATTCGTCAGTAGTTTAGCTTCGAAAACATGTACGGTTAAATATATGAGAAGTATCATAGATAGGAAGCGATATATGGGCTGTTAGGACACTGAGAAGCGAGTATCATTGTACGGATCATTAGAGGAGCCAACAAGACAAATTGTTATTAAAATATCTGGTAAATACGTCAAAGGGACCACACGTAACCCAACCTTTTCTCGAAGGCTCTTCTCTGACTCGGGTATCTGAAACGCCACAATTTCTGTTCAAAGTCTATCATTCTTACGCGATAATTGCGCCAGTTTTATTGCACACACTTATACTCTTGCCACTAGCAAGCTCTTTTTTTTTTCTTTCATATCTTTTTATATCTTACAACAGTTTTTAACTAACACCTTCACCCTTTATCGCAAGTTTCGCGACACGCTGTTAGAAGTACATTTCATGAAACATAATAAGATATGGATAAGTGTGTACCTTGTTTCTCAGATTCGTCAGCTCTGTTCTTAGCTGCTGCGTGGAGTCTGATACAGTTAATCCGTTCTCCAATTCGGACAGATCTTTCTGCAACTGATTAATCTCGCGAGCGGACATTGTGCTCCATTGATGATATTGCACAACGGCCTGTTAAAACAGTAGCATAATGTTTTATCGCAAAATACTTGAATGTAGTTTTTATTTGTTTTCTTCATGTAAAATTATTTTATTTTTGAAAAACAATATTACCGTTTTGATAGAAAAGTGACAAGTTTAAAAATTAGCAAGTTTTTTAGTAGAGCATTTTTTAAATTCTTTCTGAATTCAAATAATGTTTTAATTAGGATAGTGATATATGTAGAATATGCATAGTTTCACTTTCTTTTCATTTTATTATACTTTCAATTATAATGTATTCTTGAAAAATATATCATGAGTTTTCACAATTCAAACACTACAACTTTAAATTTCATTCCAAAAAATTATAGAACTTTTTCATATAAGCAATATATTGGCAAATATGTCATTTTTCCACAAAAATATATTAGTTTTTAGGGCTGATTTTTTTTCATTATTCAAAAACGTTAATTTTTTACTTGTGTCATTTTTCTGTTAATGCGGCGACATATACATATAAATGTACCTGATTGAGTTTATCTAACGTCGTCTCTTCACTCTGCTTTTCCGGTAATTTCGAGTGAAGATGATGTAACGATTGCACATGCGCTGCCAGCTGCACTATTCGCGCAACGAACGATTGCAATTCCGCTTGACTCTTTTCGACCGCGTATTGCGACTCGCGCAGATTTTGCGTCAGATGAGCCTTTTCGGTCTCCGCAAGCTCTAGTTGCTTCTCCAGTTTTTTCAATTCGTTCAGATGAATTTCAGAAAACAAATCAACCTGTTTGTCGGTTGCAGATGTGCCTGGTTCTTGCGTCTTTAAGTCCGCCTCGATTCTACGCAGCGCAGGCGAGTCATCCTCACCATCGCTGCATATCGTTTGATCCTCTGTGATGCCCCGAATGGAAAGCGCCAAATTGCTAAGATTGTAGATCGATTCGCTGTTGATCCTCTGGTCCAATTCCTTTTTCAAAGCGTACTTGGCTTCACGTTCGGCCTGCAAGGACTCCAACGCCTCCTCCATCTGCTTCTCTGCTATTTTCTTCAGATTCGTCAACTCTTCTACCTGACTGTTCAACAATTCGACCTCCTCCGTGAGTCGTCGAATCTCGTGTTTGGCACCTTCAAACTCCACCTGACTTGACCGCAAACCGGACACTTGCTTCTGTAATGAGATATTCTCGTCCTCCAGCTCGGAGTAATCCTGAAGCAGACGAGTCTCGCGGAATCTGCACTCCCGCAATTCCGTTCGCAACGACTTACGCTCCGTCTCCGCCTGTTGATGATCTTTCCCGACCTCTTCGCGCTCTTGCAGCGCGTGATCACGCTCTGCCTCCACCCGTTCCAATTCATGCCGTAACTGAAAACATATTCCCATTCAGCAAAGTCTGTCGAAAATTGATTTTGTCAAATGCTTGCTAATAATTCTGTCAATAAAAAGATATTAAATTTGAAGATACAAATTCTGTTATATTCAATATTATTAACAAATTGCTGACAGATATGTAAGAAAATCTGCTGACATAATATGAGAACAAATTGTCGACAAAACGATGCAAAGCTAATAATTTGACAGTAAATTGACGGCAAAAACTGATCAAAACTTTGCTCAGTTTTTGCTGTCAATTTCCTGTCTGATTATGTATGTAAAGTGTGCTAACAAAATCAAAACTTATAGCTGACAGAATGGTATCAAATTTGTCACCAATTCTGAACAAGTTTGATACCAACTTGGCGACAATTTGTTTGCTTACTGAGTTACGATACTGAATTAAAATGCATTTCTATTTTATTAAAAGTCGATAATTGCCGATTTGATACAAACCTGCTTTGTTTCGTTTTCTAATTCGATAATCTGTGATTGCAAAGACGTTTCCCGAGCGGCGCTCTCATTAAGAAGACTCTCTTCTTGTTCGATGCCGCTTTTTGCTGTTATTTTTGTAGTTGTTTGAAACTTTGCTAACGCCTAAAATAATGACAAAATAGGCACTTAAGTCAAGAGTAAATATACATCGTTATATAAGAAATGTGTTTACGTGACGCATACACAAGTGATAAGAATAATAAGACCGATTATTCAAGACTTCCAGCGAATATACTAAATTCTAAATAAAAAATAGATCCAATTAGCATCTCATATCCTTTTCAAAAATATTCCGGATTAGATAATTAAATATAGATATCCATACGTTGATTGACTAATATCAATAGCAAGTATACTGAATGACTCCACATTACTCCACATTCCTTCTGTAGTCAAATTAATTGATTCTATCTCCTCCTACCTGTTCTATTCCAAGAAAAAGGAACACTATTTCTTTCCGCATACTCATTTCATACCCTCTATGTAAAATGTTTACCATACAGTAATAAAAGTTCGCCCACGTCTCATTTGTATTCGTTACACATTAATCGCTACTGTCGAGCAAACTGTCGCAAGAGCAGAATAAATTTTCTTTCTCTCACAGGCGTGTCGAGTGATGGAGTCGGCCCCAAAAGAAATATATTTTTTTATAGTTGAATTAGTGTATACTGTTCGTGCTTAAAATAAAATAGATATTCCTGGTAACTTTTTTAAATTCTTCATATAATTTTTTAGACTTTATAATTTTACTTTTTATTTTTTAACTTTTTAAAAAACTTCTCAGATTTTTATTTTATAAGAATTAAAACATTTTTCAGAAGTGCTGAGAAAGTCTATATTCTTTCTAGAATTTTTCATATGTGTGTGTAGCAGCAATAAAGGAACAGATATCTCAGATAATCAAAATTTTTGCATTTTATCTTTTAAAGTAATCTTTCATGATGTGATGACATCAATATATTTATATCTTTGATACAAAACTTCAAAACTTTTTTAAAGTCATACGTTAGAATGCTATTCGTCACATTTCTTTGAATGTTTGCGACGTCTTGAAAATGTTTATCTTTCATGATGTTTTTTAGAAACAACATGAAATTTGGAAAAGATAGCTTTAACAAATAAGGTGGATGGCTAATCTTAACAATTTATGTCTTTATTATGTCAAAAAATGTTTGGCTATTTCATTCGTTGAATCTGATTTTTTCAGATTTTATGATTATTCTACAATGTGCTTTTTGTTTTCTGTTTCTTACTTTCTATTTCTTATCCGATTTTTTGTTTTATGTCGCCCGAGATAAAAGTTAACTTCGAAAGAACAGGAAACACATGGCAAAAAATACAATTGTCGATAAAAAAAAATGGTTGCAAAGGAGGAAGAAAAAAGAGGCAGAAAGCAAGAAACAGGAAACAAAGAGCACATTGTAGAATAGGCTTTATGCTATTCTCAAAACTTAAAATATAAAACATTTTCAAGGACATTCACAAGAACATGATGAATACTCCGAATAGCATTCCAACTATGAACTTTAAAATGTTTTGAGGTTTTAGATCTGTTTTCTGTGGCTGAATTAGTGTACATTTTTGAACTTAAAGTGAAATAGACATACGTTTGATATTTGTCTAAAACGAGAAAGAGAGTTCTAGAACAGTCTAGTACAGGAACAGAAAACACACCACATGTATCGAGATGTGCGAAATATAATATATATTGATGTCATGGAAAACTCATGGTGTAAATTTCAACAATAACAATAATAATAATTATAATTATCCAACAAATATAATTTAATAATAAGCCAAGTCGAGCATATATAAAGTATTAACATAATATAAAAATTAGTAATAATTATATGTAAGTGGAATAATTTCAACTTTAATCATAGTCTTTATCAACCACAATTAACAAAAGAGTTATGTAAATAATAAGTCTAAATAATAATATAATATAAAATCTTACAAGGAGGATTATTTTGAAAAGTAAAGTACATTTTGTCTGTTTGGTTGTTACAGCCCAAAAATATATGTCAGATTACACATGTAAATTCTAAGATTTTTAAGACTTATTATTTTGCAATTTCAGACGAAAATTTATAAAAAAATAAAAAAGTATTTTTTCAGAAATTTTCATGAATTTACAGTACAACAAATTCTTTAAAATATTATGAGATAATACTAGAATTTTTTCATCAGGGATATGTTTAACATTTAACAAAAGAGAGAAAAGGAGAATTCTAATGCGGTCCAAGGTAACAATAAAAAAAAAAAAAAAACAAACCCAAGGTTCCGGACATGCACTAACCTCCTGCGTGATCTCCAGCTCATGCTTCGTATTTTCGTAGAGTGCCTCGAGGTCGTTGCACCGTTGCTGCAGGGCCGACTTCTCCTCGAGCAGCGCGAGTCCGTACTGAGCCGACTGTATTTTCTCGGTGGAGGCCAAGTCGAGCTCACGCGACAGACGCTCAATCTCAGTTCTCAGCTCCTCGATCCCGTCGACGGCGGCCATTGTTGCCTGCGCGATGACGACGAGGTTGATGATGACGAGGACGACGACGAGGACGACGACGACGAGGACGACTACGACGACGATGACAACGAAGACTCTTCTGATTCCCTTCCGGCTACTCCTCGTGTTACTCCCGCTTCCCCCTGCTCCTCCCCCTTCTCCGTCGCCTCTCTACCACCTTCAGCACCTCGCGAGTTATGTTATCGCGAGTGAGACGAATGGACACCGGTCGCCGTAGTTGCACCACCCGAATGTGAACGCATCCTTCGGATTCTTAATCCACGATCTTTTTTTTGTCCTCTTCCAACGCCTCGTGTCGTGGCCTCCTGTCTTCGACGACGTGCGCGACTCTTCTGGACAATCTGGACTCTCCAGACTCTCCTACGACTCCCACCTGTCCTCCGGTTTTTCACATCCTACCTGCGATGCGAGAGCCACCATGGCATCATCACCGACCGTCACCGCGAGTGACACTTCGAGCCGATTTTGACAGACGCGGCGACGGCGCGGCGCGACGACGACGATTGACGGCGATGATGATTCGGGTGGATTCGGAATGTGTGTGGGTGGACGGGCGAGATCCGAGATCACGCGACAACCGGATGCGCGTGTTCCGCGATTCTGCCTTTTAACCATAGAACTTATAGTGATGGAAGGGGAATACGGACGTCGAGTTGTGAGCGAGATTTAAAAAACAGAAATATCTTTCTATTCTCTTTGGGCACATGCGCAGAAAGAAGAAAAGTTACTAAGTTGGATAGAAATATATACAGAAGTACATCTTCTGTCTCTCAGTTGCTCACACCTTCCATTCATTGCTTGGATAGGTTATTCCGGTTCCAATAAGTTCTACGATTTTAACTCGTTTCGACGTTCCGTTCGTCTATCAACGATAGAGACCATCCAATCTCTTCCTCTTGTTCTCTCCATCCCGCATCGATAAGAGATTCGCCGCCTACCTAAGGACACATGGATGTTAATATATTCACGCATCGATGCCACGCGGTTATTTATATTTCTTTCGAAGGGTACCATAGAGCTCGCTCGATCATCCATTCACTCGTTTCCTTCCAGTACCTGCTCATTCATAAGCATTTATAAAGGGCTAAGTCAATTGTCGATAACGACCGTGTAGATGTCCGAAAAAAACATGTAATGCGTAGTTAAGGAATGTATGGCAGGCGACAGCACCATGGAGAAATGCAAGCGATTAACGTGATAAATTATTGTTGAAGTTTAGTTTTGATAAGAACAAGTTATGGGCCACTCGTTCATAAGCATTCATAAGCGGTCAAATTAATCGGTGATAACCGCATGGATAAAAATATGTAATGCGTAGTTAAGGAATGTATGGCAGACGACAGCATCGCAGAGAAAAGAAACTAACGCGGTAAATCAGTGAAGTTTAGTCTTGACAAGTACAAGAGAGTTACAGCATTTACCTGTCCAACATGCAATAAAAATCTCACAACTTCCATGTGAGAAGAATGTACTGTAGAATTTCGCTTTCGGAAATGATAAAAATTTACAATTTAATTTGCAGCATTGAGAATCGTTGTTGATTAACAATCTAGAATCGCAGAGCAATTCTTGTGTAACGCGTTAATTTTTCGCAAGCTTTCTCTTCCAGAAATTCCGAGACAAATATGCTGGACGACTGTTAATTAGTTAATGAATCAATCCCTGGCGAGTCCATTTAACGATGACACGTAGATTGTTGCAAATTGCGTGAATTCAGACCACATCATGTGTGCATTGGCATGATTATGTATTTTAATTCTTCTTAACAAACAGCAATCTACGCATATTCAATATACAACTTATTATCCCTGAAACCACAAAACGTGTATTAATTGGACGAGATGTTTGGAAAGAGAAACTGGGAGAAAAACGTTACTCATTTCACGATTCCAACGTTGTTTTCGTTTCCGAATGCCAAATGAATTTCTAGCAATCCTTGCAGAAATGCAATTTAAGAAGGTAGTAATTAATTACTTGTTTTGTGCATTAAATAATGCTCTTAAAACTTAAAATAAATAATCAATTATTATCTTTCTGTGTTCCAATTAAATTTCTATAAAGGAAGAGAATGTTTAAGAGTAGCTGAGCTTTAAATCAGTTTCATTCCTGGTCATATCACCTAATGTGTATTACAAAGAATCTTTAGATTCTACTATTGTTTATTTCTATTAATGTAGCTTAATTTTAATCTCGGTTTAATTTACTTTTTTTTAACTAGAATTTCTGGTCTGATAACCTGAAATTTTATCAAAATGCCATTCTTGTTAAATTTTTTTTGTTGTTTGATTAATCAAAACATTTTGTGTTCTAATCTCCTGTTCTAATCTCACACAGAGGATTTTCAAAGGATTTTCTAAGGATTTCCGTCTCTTAAATAAAGTATACTGTATGAGATTCTGAGATAAAAAGTAGTAAATTAAATCGAGAGTTAAGTTTATCTATCTTGATAGAGAAATGAGCTTGTAACAGATATTCAAAGCTTGACGTCGTGAAACTGTGATCTGTTGTCGCAGTAGAACCAATTAAGAGTAGAAAGGATCTTTAAAGAGACGAAGGAACATAAAGCATTTAGGGGACAACACAGAAAAAGAGATCATTCCTTTGCCTCTCCGTACACATTCTATTTCAAAAATTCTGTTTAAAAACATAACTTCGAATACTTCATATTCTTTTTTCTCTTCTTCCTCTTCATCCTCCTTGTCTTCTTCCTTCTTTCTTTCTCTCTCTCACTCTCTCTCGTTTCTTCTTCTTCTTTTTTTTAAGTATTAATAGATTAGTTTAATATATAAGACGAGCCGTGGACCCGGCGTACGCCGCCGGTCGAATTAGATTCATACACTGTAACAGTCGTATTCTTTACAATATTCGTACGTAAGTCTTGTAGCAGAGACAAAAGCGCAGGTGCCCTAATCGCACTCGATTTTTTATTCTTTATAATAATTATTCGTATGCTCGTCTGAACCTCTGGTGTTATCAACGAACCACAGAGACCGTGTCGCGGAGGGAATCGGCTGTGTCTATCCAGATTATTTGCTCTTACGTATGATGTGTAGTCTAAGTCATTCCTAGCCAGACAGTATAAAATGACGTCTGAGAAAGGATAGCAGTATACGGACATCCAACTTCAAATTGTGAATTGACCCATCCTTCGCTTCATTCTGATTACCAGCGAGAAGCAAAAGATCTCTCAAATTCGTCCAATTTGTCGTAAAGTCCATTAAGACTAATCAAAGCTTAAACCCCGCATGTCTTCAGACGTCCGTCTAGACACTTCGCGTCGTCCGGAATACTTGGTCCGACGTATGTCCATGTATTGATAGCGCCAGAGGTCCGCGAAGGTTCAATATAGCGAAGTACAATTTGTTTGATCCTCTCCAAGTCTCGTCGTTGACGTGAGCACTAGCACACTGAAACTACGCAATGAGATCCGGCATATTTTTTTTTAAGTCCCGCACAATGTGTTAAGTGTGTATAAAATTGCTGCAGGACACCTGGATTACTATAAGAAACACCCCCGGGTACGCCATTGTCCAAGGAGACGATCGGCCCCGGGTCTTTTCTTCCACCGAGATAGTCAGGCACGCCTGGCTTCTGAACGTTAATACACAATTGTCGCTGCTGGTAGAACCACGGAAGCCGCGCGAAGCGTACGAGTAGCGTGGACGTCGTGCGTGGAATTATCCACGTCAGCGGGTCGCGTCAGCGACGTCCACGCGACAATCCGCCTTTTGGGCTTGAACAAAGACTAGCCCTTTCCCTTTCCCATTCGGATGATCGAATTGATATAGTTGCACTGCAGCTACTTAGCATAAACGTGGTCCGGGTATTTCAAAAAAGTAGTCGGGATTCTAATCTCTTATCCTAATTATAGTATAACTCGGCTTGCATTTTACTTCATGAAATACCGCGCGATCGGACGAGTCGCTGCTCTCGCTAATATAATTTCGCCATGTTACGCGTGCATGCATGATTATCCTTCCTTTTATATTCGTTTTATAAGAAAAAATCTCACTTTGTACTCGCGTCGAGCGTTAAGTGGTCGTCCCCTGCACATGTGACGGGGAATAGCTTCTTTTTTTTTTCCTTTGAGTACGACTTCCTTTTCTTTGATCGCATCATTTACAAAAATTTTGTCCCTACAACTTATGAATTAGGAAAAAAAAAGACAGTATCGGTCATCACTTCGTGATTATACTCTATACATGAAAAATATAATTTTTCTCGTGGAAATACAAACGATCGCAAAAATACAAAGGATCGCATTATCGGAATTAGTCACCAGCAACGACCAGAGTATAAGCTAGCTTTTTACAGTACAAAATACAGCTCCTGCATATGCATAAATATATGTATACACATATGCGGATATATATATATACATATACCTAGTAACGAAGTATTTTCAGCAACATGTAAGGATATAGTAAGGTTGGTACAACTTCTTCTTCTGTGGGCTTTCTTTTTATCGCCTATCAACAGTACAAGCGACAGTATGAACAATATGAATCTATAGTCTTGTCATTAACAATTATGATTGTACGTACAAAATGTGTCAACTTGTACAGACCACCGTGTTTATATGTATATATACATACATATCGATGTAGCAATCATTTCAGACATATCTTACTTGGTATCAATCACAACATATCCTTCTTTTTACGTTCAGAAAACTGTAGAAAGCGCACACGTTTTCTCTCTCTCTCTTTTGCCCTACTTTGAGCGTGTTCCATTTGACTCTCACAACGCTCGCGACCATTAAGTCCTTGTAAAACATGCGATAAACTGCCAAGGATGATCTCAATGAATGAACGTTGCGAGAATCAAGTGGAACGCACTCTTCGTCGAAGTCGGAGGGTATGAGTTTAATTGCATATAAACCTGTAAACACTGTGACAATCCTACAACTATACTTCGTTTTTGTCCGTACCTATACAAACTAGACGAGTCCGGTATATAAAAAGAAAATAGAAAAAGAAACAAAAG